TTATTACTTATTTTTTATGCGCTTTGATTTCTCGCACGCCGTTACAACTTTGTTAGCAATATATCGATTTACCGTCAAAAAGTATACGAGCAAAGACTTTCAAAACAGAGCTACTGTTTAGACACTTAAGCTCGTATCAGATTACGGATTAAAATTGAGATTAGATAAACGTTTGACCACTTAAAAATTTCTGAACTTGAAATTAGTTAACTTTACTTTGATAAAATTCCAATATAATCTCAAAATTCCAATCTAATTTCAATCCGTAGTCTGATACGAGCTACAGCTGGTTCCTTTCACTGTAGCTTACATTTTCTTGCTATGAAATGTAATTGAGAAAGGTATTAAGAGACGTCATTCTTTAAATCTTAAATTGTAAATTTCCGGTTTTGCTCGCTCGAAATTGTAGCTAGTGATATTTTTGTCCCTGGTAGAAACAAATATTTCCATCGGATATCGGACGTCTTATCAAACGGCTAGGAAAAATGCGTCGTTTCGTACTTAGGAGTACACAAAAAGCTCGAGACCGTTCTCTCACTGTATTCTCATCCCTAGTGCGTTTGCCGGTCGTGCGATTTTTTAAACAGTCGCGACGGAGAAGTTGAATGATTCGCGTCAGAATTCATCTTTCCTTTAAAATGAAATATTAATCACTCTTCCGCATATACCTGCCATTCTTGGTTACAATCATCTCGTTCGTAATGCACTGGAATCTAGTCCAGAGCTCCCGATCCTCCAGCGACAGAGACAGCGGCAATCCTTGGCTCCCCGAGATCGCGGCAGGAGGCCCGAGGCTCTGCCTCACGATCGAACCCCGCTCTTCGCGATCCTCTCGATCCTCCGCAGGACTCGCTCGGCCCTGCTGCCGTCCGCCACGCTCTCGCTCGCGATCCCGCTCCTGCTCGCGTTCCCTTTCGCGCTCCCGGTCGCGCTCGTGGTACGAGGAGCGCGTTGGAGAACCCGGCGTTCGCGGTGCGCCCGCCGGTTGCATCTTCAGCGGTCTCCAGTACGTCAGCTGTACCTCGATCCTCTTACTCCCTCCGATGTATCCACGAATTGGAAATTGAATTCTCGATCTCTGACAGTAGCGCAAACCATACACGAGGGAAAGAAACGGAAGCCACATACGACGCGGTGTATTTTCCCGAGAGACTCTCGCGGTAGGGGAGGGAGATGAAAATCTGGGTTGCCTTCGCCGTTGATCGATTCGGGGATCCCGAATTCGCGACGTCCCGCGAGAAAATCGGACGCGATCCCGCGACGGGCAGCGGAGGGGGACGGAAAAGCGTCGTTCGTCGCGGCACCAGACGTCTCCGTCGGCGGCGGAGGATAGGCCGCGTCGCGAGTAGCCGCGCCGCGTGGCCGTAGACTCGTAACACTTGGGCGCGATATTTCACACTAGCCGGCGAAGACTCGCTGAAGACTGACCGGCGGTATATCTGCCTCTCTGTTTCTCGCTTCGCGTCCTCTCTTTCTCCGTTCGTCGGTGGGTACGCGGCCGCCGAGAGAGGCACCGGCCCGAGTCGCGTTCGCGCCTGCCGGGTGCTAATTACTCGCTAAATTAGGAGCTCACGGGTGCAGCATGGCGGTACCACTGCGGTGTCCATTGGTCGAGGACCATTTGGCCGGTCGCCCCGTCGCCAGGACAGCGGGGACCGCCTTCGATGTCTTGCTCCACCAATGGACGAGTGACTCGTCTTTACAGATCCACCACGGTTGGTGGGTTCGACAGTGAACACGTCGTTCGGCAGTCCGCCCACGTCGCCGGTCGCCGGGTTCACGATTAGTCCTTGCGAACAACGTACGCGGATCCGCACGTGGTGGACCGAATCGTCGCTGCAATCGTCCCTCCGATTAATATCAATCGGTCGCGAATTCGTCTCGATCGAAGATGTAAGCGTCGCGCGGCCGAACGGGGAGGAACCCTCTTTTACCAGGGTCGCGAGCAAGTGTTTCCCTTTCGTGGACCGGAGTCGCGCGGCCGCGATACCGGATCGAGTCGCGGCAGCGCGACATGTCACCTCTGCGAGTTAATATTTGCGTCTGTTGCGCTCAGGAAAGTACGCGACGCATATTTGTTCCTCGTGAGAGATAAGTGTTGCTCTCGTTGACAAGGTATAACGGACCCCGGCGCAAAATCCGCCAAAAAAGAAACCTCGAGAAATCGTTTCTCCGCCAGTTACTCTAATTTCTATTTAAATATTTATTTTTAATATTAGTTCGCATTAATTGCAACAGCAAAAAGTGATGGAGTAGAATCAGGTCACCTTCTCACCACGCGGTCAATTTATTTGACGGGCAATTTATTTAAATATGAAAAGTGACTTCGCACAGCTGTGATATCGAACTCCATTTTCTTCCACAACTCGTTCATGGAATTTAGATACATCGAGGCGTCGCAGAGATTTCGCGAAAATCTCAATGATTTACTTAGCACCTCGCGATGCATCGCTTCTCGATCTCAGAGAGGTGGCTGTCCGTGAAACTGGCGTTTTGCAACAATTATAGTATTTGTCGATTGTGAAAATGGAGTTCTTCGTCTATCGCGAATGTAGATACAGCGTGGAGTCGAAGATTTCGTCGAAGAAAATTTCAATGATTTACTTACAATTAGAGCCTCGCGATGCATCGCTTCCCGGCCTCGGAGAGGGGGCTTCCCGTACAGCGCGCATAACTAAAAGACATCTTTAAGGTAGTTATTTCGTAAACTCATTTACGTGAGAATTGTTTCAAATTTTTACAGTTTATTCTTTACGTTAATACGTGAAAAATAAGACTAATTAAATAAAAATTAACTGTCTCAAAGTTCTAAAAAAAAAGATTAAAAGTTAAAGTTTGCTGTGTTACACGAAATATTACGTGTAAAACACGTTAAAAATATTATTGCACGTAACAATATAATTCGTTGTAATATCATTATACGTGAAATATTGTTTACACATGGCACATTTTATTTTTTTAAGCTTTACGGTGAGTGAAATTCGTATGAGAAACAAGTATGTTATAAAGTAAAATAGGACGAATAACTAGGGAAAAAATCAAAATTATTGACCGTTCCGTTTCGACAATATAAACAGTTAAAACTGAAAAATGGGAAAAATTATGCTGCAGTAGACATGAGCGTTGTGTAAGAGATGTGGCAACAGCACCTCAAACTATAAACTTTCGAATTTATTTTTCCTTATGTATTAATCGTAAATGTATTCTTCGCGATATATTACTGTAATAATTGAGTGCTGATTCCTGTCTGGAAGAAACTTTTGAGCATTACTGTCGCGAAACATCTGTACCTTAAAACGTCTTTAAGTCATCTTTTAGACATACGTGTTGTTTGGACTGTCCGGGAAACTAGCGTCTTGCAGCAATTGTATAATATTTGTCGATTGCAAAAATGGAGTTCCTCGTCTATCGCGAACAAAACGAACTTGTTAGATACAGCGAGGCATCGAAGATTTCGTCGAAGAAAATTTCAATAATTCACCCAGAGCCTCGCGGATGCATCGCTTCTCGGCCTCGGCGAGGAGGCCTGTCCGTGAAACTGGCGTCTTGCAGCAATTATAATATTTGTCGATTGTGAAAATGGAGTTGCTCGTCTATCGCGAGCGAAACGATCGGGAGGCCGGAACGCATTGGCCGTCTAGAGTCAAATGAGAAAAATCAACAGAACGTCGTTCGCGGACCGATCGCACGGCGCATCGCGAGTAGATATTTGAGCAGGACCGTTTTCTTGTTTGCCATCCCGCACGGTTTCGGACAGCAATCGCCGGACGCGAAGACGGCCGTAACCCTATCGGTTATTTGTGCTAGCAATTTCGTGCGGAGAGCACATACATCGTGATCGTCCTGGTGCCGCGACATCGCCAGAGGCCGAGCGAGGAGCCATCTTTATTGAAGGCGGGCCGAGATCGTGGAAGGTAATTACAATTTGCGGCCCGGCTGCATCCGCGATTATTTGCCAGAAATGCCATCGGTCCCGCAAACTGCGGTGACATCAACCGCGCGAGAGATCTTTTCGAAAGTGGAGTCGAAAACGAAAGTGTCGTATTTATCCTTGGAGGACTAGCCCCGTCTAGTCGTAAAAAGACAAGAATTTCTTAGATCATATAACTTTCAATACGCGGATGTGTTGAATTATATATAAGAAAGCAGTACGTAGCGACGTAGGAAGAAAGTGGCAGTAATGTCCTAAGCTGACAACTTTACGAAAGCAGGTATGAGTTTCAATTGTAAAAATCACGGCGCACAAACGAAACTTTTAAAACCTTTTACTGTCTTTTTACGTTTTTTTACGACATTTTTATTATATTTTTCCGCAACAGGGATGTTTTCTTTTTACCTGTTGATCGTAATCTTCAATGTAACACATTCTGCCGCGGAGTTGGGCTATTCATTCTTGTCTCAGTTTCTTTCGGCTGGCGCACGACTTGGAAATTAAGAGATTTCGGAGATAGTTTCACGTCCGTTGTGTTCGCTGCACGGTGGCGTGTCATAAAAATTTTTACCTCGAACGACTTCTACGCAACCCGCACGACACCGCAGTGGCGTTTACGATAGGGGTTATTCTCGATTATTGCTACCTGCCGCTAGGTAGCCTTTAGACATGAGTAGGGAGGTCTTCGACGTTCGTTTATATCGTTTGAGAGATACCGCCGTAGTTACGACCGCTTTGATAAACCGCGCCAAACGCGGCTTTTTCGGCGTTCGTCTATTTACAAACTGTATCACTCGTCGAACACTTTTAGCGGAAGTTGTGCACTCCGAGAGCGGCGGCGTTTACCGGCCAAAGATGTCATCACCTTCAAAAGTCTCTCGATTTACGATGTTTCCCCAGGCGTTTGTCAATTGAACAGTTGGCCAAGAATAAATCTGCGATAAGACGATGCACGTAAAATTTTTACACGTCTAGAGTCATTCATTGCACGAACTTACGGTGTCGCGAGTCGATGTTTACAGGACGCCGTAGATTTGTATAACAATAAGAAAAGGGAAGGGAGGGGGGAAGCAGAATGATATAAGATGAGAAATATATAATTTTTAGAAATTATACATAATTATACTTGCATAAATGAACGTGACAACTCGTAAATTACTTGACAAATAAAACGTATGAATCTTTAATCAAATTGCTGCTTAATTATTAACGATATCGTTTGCCGATTTTCTTTAATTTTTCTTCTTGAGTTTCTTTTTCGACTCGCGCGTGCTCGAGTCAACGAGTGAATTCTTATCCCGGTTACTCTTCAGGGCGGCGGTCTCGTGTTCTCGCCGAGTGCCACGATCTCCAGTCCCGTCTACGTTGATAACGTCACGGTTTCGACCGTTAATGATTCTTTCGCAGCCGATACCGCGATTACCGAGCAACATCGGGAATTCCATCGAACGGGGGATCGTTGCTCTCCGTCGGATCCACTCTCTCTGATCGGAATAATCCACTAAAGCTGCGCAAGTCTGCGTAATTTCACCGCGAGTCCGATTAAAAATCCTCAAAATTATCAACAGCAGTACTCAAGCACCAAAATTGAAACCACGACTAATTTCTTGAGTTACAACATTGAATAATTCAGTTATTATCTGGAGGGATGATTATTGAATCAATCCCATACAGCACGTATGTCCAAAAAGACAACTATGTCTAAAAGACGACTTAAAGATGCCTTAAGGATGTCTTTTAGACACGCATGCTGTATGGGATGTCATTCTTACCACAAGGCCATCGGGAATCCTGGTTATCGCGTGCCCAGTTTGCGCGAACCAACAACACTCTTTGGGCAAGATATGCGATACCAGTTGTCCATCTTCCGTGAATCCGTGAATAGCGTTGGCTTCTAGGATACCGTGGGACTTCGGTGGGAAGGGAAACAACAAGGGAGTCGTCAGGTAGGCTTCCGGGATCAGCTGGGGAAAGAAATGAGACGCATCGTTTTGGTTTTCCTTTCTCTTTACTGTCGCATAGACATCTGTTTCTTTTATTCTTTTCATACTGCTCGCGATCGTCCCAATCGAATGAGAGTAAAGTTATACATTTTTCAACGCTGATCTTTTTGTCCATCTCGTATCACAGGACAATTATACCGCAAATGCCAATTTGTTCACTCAACATGCTTTTTTGTTTCTCATTTTGAAAGGGTATTGCGCCTTTAATATTCTCAGCATCAAAGACTTGACATTTGTGGTACTTATTTTGCATAAAACGTAGGTCTATTGTAGGTCGGTTTGTTCTATCACCTTTAGCTACCGTTGCTTATGATATTGTATCACACAGTGTACATTTACGTTCTTCTGATTAATTAAACAGTATTCCTCATTTAAAGTTTATCTGTATCTCTCAACATGCACAGTACATCAACGCCAAGAAAGTTTATTTTTATTTTTTTTTTTACGACGTCGAATATTATCGATATCTAGCTCAGAATTACTCCAATTTTCGTCCTACGAAGACAGCGTCATTTTTCGGTTATGATACACGCACGCTTCGATTCGATGACGGCTGTTTAAATATGTTTTTTAAGGCGTGAGATTATGGTTATTCCGTTGCAAGAAGTGGAACATATTTTTGTTTCAATTATATATGTGTATTAATATACTTTCATTCGCGTAGTCGCACTAATTCTGCCCAATATATTCCACGTTTCGGAGCGGAAGTGTGACGTTTTGCTTTCACTCGCGAGCGATCGCGCGAACAGAATGAGGGAAGTTCTTTTTACGCGACCATACGTAGGACGTAAGCGCGACGGTGAACGCAACGTAAAAGTTTTTCGTTAAATTTTTGGTCCCATCATAGGTACAGGGTATCCGGCACGAATTAATCCCGAATTAACTGGTCGATATAAGACTAGACGCAAGTTATAGATACTAGCGCATATTAAGAATCTGCCGGCAAATACGCTTCGTTGGACAGTGGAAGGAACGAAAAGCAGTTCTTTGCAGAATTGACGTGTCCAAAAGTCAATGCGATTCAGAAATGAATACGTTTATACGCGAGGAAGCGTGTAAGAGCAATTAAGTCAATTAAAGTATTTAGCTAATTACTCGATTAACTGAAACTTATATATTGCGAATGAACAATATTTGTGGGGGGAAAAAAATTAGTCCAATCGTGCAATTAATTTTAGATGGACTCGATAAAGGAGAGGAGAAATGCTCAAATGCAGATTCTTAACACGAACCACCGTGCATCCCCCTTCGCAATTATTTTCCAGAAGCGAAAGAGCGTTTACCTGTCGGCTTCTCGGCCTCCTACGCTCGCAGGCGTACTTGACTTCTTTATTTGATGGTTAGCCCCCGCGCGGCAATACGTTCTGACCTAAGGAATCTACTAAATAACTTACTCTCTTCGTCGCGCGTTTTCGTTCTTTCTTATTACACACGAGTATAATATATATATTTATATATATAATCACTCGTCGACGTGTATAACACCGACGGTATCTAACAACAGTGATGGAAGGTGCCGATCGAGCAATAATCGTCTCGGCATGATTTCTTTTGATTATATCTTCCTTTTGGCATACGAGACGCGGTGTATCGTGCGGCTTTGATTTTCGATAAGGCGAGAGAACTCGACGAGAGAACTCCCCGACGCGTCCCCGATCCTCTGGAAGGCACAATCTCGACGAACGTTCGCAGTTTGTCGGGACGTTTCGTACGCCAACATCGATCCCCGACAGCTTTCGCCAATCGATGCACTTGCATTCGCTACGCATGACACGCGTGTCCCGCTTTTACTTTCCAAGCGGCGCTGTAGGTTCCGACAAAGGTTTTCATCATGGAGACAAATCCAGGGGTTGAAACCGACGCGATTTCGAGCCCAACTTCCGGATGCCGGAGACATCGAAGCTTTGGTGCTTCGTGTCGTCTCGCGAATCTCATTGTCTCGAGTAAACGTAGAAATCACTGTGGGCGATTAATTGAGATACGTGGAAATTATAGCGATTCCAATTACTGGATAAGTCTCCTATTGGCATATGCAACGTAAAATATGGACAGTTCGTTCGTTACCCAAGTTCGCTACACACCGAAACTACCAATGGTTACACCTGTAACTTGTTTCTATCGGAAGTACAATGTATCGCCACTCAATTTCATCGCAAACCGTCACGCGTCGGAAAGCTACGGGAACCATTTTAGCCTAAAAAAAGACGAGGACAACGTCCTACTGAAGTCGATCTGCGGCGGTATTCTGTACCGCGCCAACGATACTTGTTAGTACCGTAATGAAAAAGTCGCCATTTGCAATATCGCGAAGTAATCAATTTGACACGTGACCCTCTTCCGCCTCCCAATTAATCTAAAGAATATAAAATTCTGTGAATGCTTGCTCCCTAAAACGTTGCCCCCTCGATATCTCTCGGTAGCACAAAATATCGACAAGTGTCGTGAAGACAGTACGCGATACCGCAGCCGATCTCGTTTAAATTTCGCTACCTATAGCACCTACGTGTGGACTGTGCCAGCGCGGCGCCGCCGGTTGTCCGCAGTACGCGCTGCCAATCGGCGACGGCGCGCCGACGGCGTCGTCGTCGACGGCGAATGTGGCCTGGCTATCCTCGGCGTCGAAAATCCTGCAGGCGCCAGTCGTGGTGGCCGCGACAGCCGCCGCTGCGGCCGCCGCTGCGGCAGCGGTCGCCGCCGTAGCCGCGGTCGCGGCCGTCGCGGCTGCCGCGGCCGCAGCCGCCGCCGTTGCGGCGTTCTCCATCGTTTCCGACAGGGGATGTTCCCTACTTACATCGCCCTCATCGCCACCATCGGCGCCGTCACCGTCGTCCGCCGTGACGTCGCCGCCGCTACCGCTTTCGCCCACCATGTTGACGAAGAACTCGGACCTGGAGAACTTGCCGATCTCCGTGGAGCCAAAGGCCTGATGGAAACCCGGAAGCGGCTGCTTCGAGACGGGTTTCTTCTTCAGCTCGAATCGCTCGCCCGTGTGCCGAGATTCGCGCTCCTTCTCGTGAGAAACCGCGCCTTCCTGCGGCTGAAATCGCGACACGCCTTTAAGACCTCGGGCGCAGTGACGTAACGATCTAATAAACGGACCAAGTCGCGTATCTAAAAATTGAAGCGAGAGCGCGACGTGCTTTACCGTCGAGGTTGGCACGAGCTCGTCCAGAGACATCCCAGTATTGTTTGGCTCCCATTTGGTCCCGCCGTCCTCCTCGCGTCGATTCATCGTTGTCGTCGTCGAGTCTATGACGGAATTCACCGCTGATCCCAGCAACCTTGGCATCTGCGTAGATAATAATTCCTCATTGATTCCCAGCAAATGTCAAATTGGCGTAACGTCTATTTATGATTTCCCGCCATTCTTCGTTGCTACAATTTATGTGCCTATTCGCGAGACTTCTGTATCCACTGAGCAACGATGCGTCAGACATGTGTGAATGGAATACCTGGTGCTCCGACGGCGGATAAGACGCGCGAACGCTATCAATGTTCAACTTGCTCGGCGCGTAACTCATCTGCGACGCGTCCTCCAGGAATGCACAGTGCCTGGTTGGTGTGCGGTCCCGTAAGAAAACTGCATGTCGCGGGCCCCGAATCGCCGCGTTGCGAGCCGCGTTTGGGACATCTGAAATATTGCACACGTTCAATAGCGTACGAAATGTTTTACCAGCGATAAGTTCTCTTCCTCTTTTTCTTCCGCAAAGTATATAAAAATGCGATTAGTCACATTCGGCGTTCGAATCGCCAGCGTTTATAAAATCATCTCGTGGATAGAATAAAGTGAGACGGAAGGATAAAGTGCCCCCATACACATGGAACTTACGTGGTAGCATGCCGTGACAAAATTGGCCCCATGGACCATGCCCATGCGCGTTTGTATTCTGGACATTCGGGTGAAGAACGCCACCCATTTGCGGTGACGGATGAGGCGTTCTCGGAAGCGGATGAGGGCTTGCGCTGTTCTGCAATCAGAGATATCAGGCGATGTTTTAAGACATTTAACATGACTCATTGTCAGTCGGAGAGAAAAAAAGTATCTATTCGCATTTCACTGCGTATAAATTACAGAAGCGTACTCTACGTTCAATCGAGTTAAGAAGCATCATTATATGAAAAGCGAGATAAGTAAAATTTGCGAATTTATAATCGAATGATATTCGCAAATCGAGATTAGCATTTTCTTTTTCTCAAACGTTATCTCGTTTTCTGTAGCTTTGCCATCGCGCTCTGTATATTACTTGATAAGGATGCCATTTCTGGCCGTCGACGAAGTCTGCGTATTCCGCCGCGGATTCCTGCCGGCGGATTTCTCTCTCCGCAGTTGCGATATCCGGTGAGTAGCCGTTGGAAGAAAACGCCGCCGCAGCGCACTCTTGGTTTCTTTGGTCCTTGAGCTTTTCGAGGTCGCGTTGTTGCTGCTGCTGCTGCTGCTGCTGCTGCTGATGCTGGTGCATCGTGCCCATCGCTTGCAGCCTCTCTATCGGATCGCCGCACACGTTCCCGTACCAGTTGCCGATTCGCGGCGAGTGCGCGGCCGATTTCAGGCGATGCGCCGCCTGGAACCAGGGCTCGGCCACCTGATGGGGGCTCACGTTCGGACCCATGGACATCGACGTGCAATCGAAACGGTGATGCTGATTCAGGAAGCCGCCGGCCATCGACGCGGAAACGACGGAATTGCCGCCGCTAATCGCGGCCGTGCGCGCGTTCGCGGTCGCGATCGCGCTTTGCAAGATCGATCGCCGCGACAGCTCGCGATTCTGCTCGCGCATCGCCTTCCGTAGCCTCGCCTCCTTCGGATTATACACGTAATCTGGTTTGGAAAAACGCAATTGTTATTGATATCGAAATGCATAATGCTGTAATCTTCGCCATTTTCGAGTATTTATAACGCCATATATTAATACACGACAGAAACAAATAATACGATAAGCTTCCTAAAGCGATCGGGCGTGTTAAGCATTTATTCGAATAATACGAGATTGCGTAATATTCATTATAAGTGAAATGACTTTTCACGAATGAGTTTCATAGCATAAAAGTTTCATCAAATTGCCCTTGCATAACTAACTACCTTGGATTATCCAATTGCATATAATAGATTTTTGAACCTTTTATTATTCGTCCGATTGAGGGAGATTTCAATTTTTCCCAGCTTTAATTTTTTCCACAGTCGGTTTTCTCTTGGTTAGCTAACTAATAGTTAAATTATATCTTTAATTTGAAGGAAAAACAAAGACATATACAGTATTTAACTATAGGCGACTTTTGGCGACCGTTTGGTGAATATACGAAAGTGTACCAGAGTGTACACTCAGCGTCGTGGATGCCTCTACACCTGAAGAAAAACGCTAAAGATATCCAATAGGAAAATTTATCTTCTTCCTCGTGTATTAGGCTTGAAGCCTGTTTTATTCAGTTCGTTCTGGTACTTTGAGCAGTTGGTTTTACTTCGTCTTCGGCAGGCTGCTAACCCTTGCCGAGGGAAACCTCCCCTCTGGAAGGCTATACCCTAAAAGGGTAGGTGTGGTAAGATACTCTCGGTGGTTGCCACAATAGAAAAATTAATTTTATTAAAATGAATTTTTCTATCGGAATATATTGAACTCGACGGCTGTTTTCAGGTGTAAAAGCATTCATGCCGCCGAGTGTACACTCTGGTATACTTTGGTATGTGTACCAAACAATCGCCAAAAGTCGCCTTATTAGTTGCCAGAAGGTTGAAACAATCGGCTCTAAGGGTAGATTTTTCCGACCTTATGGCAAGTTAACTAATAGTTAACTTATATGGCCCGGTTTTTCATTTTCTGATTAACTGTTAACCAGAGGTTAGTCGATTCTCTGTCTCTTCTTAGATAATAAGGACATAGAAAAAGATGGAGTCGATTAACTTCTGGTTAACAGTTGACCAGAAAATGAAAAACCGGGCCTATGTCTATTTTTGTCTAATTTAAGGGAAAACCAAAGACATATATTTAACTATTAGTTAACTTACCAAGAGGTTGGAAAAACCGGCCCTTAACCAATAATAAGTTAACTTCCCAGTCGCTATATCTATTCTTCACTTTACGAACAGAAATATGCGTTTGTATTTTTCTTTTAATTTTGAATCGAGCCGCGATTTTGAGAGACGACCCTAGCGGAAATAATTTCTATAAATAACTACAAAAAGTGACTTGAAATAGAAATTTGTATAAATGTTTATATCTTCGTTAAAACATTATATTTTTGTAAAAATATCTACGAAATAGTACCACAAATTACAATATTCTCAAATTAAGAAATTATTGCAAGTAGTATTTCATGAAAATGTACAATTTTGTAAAAATTGGTACAAAACTTTACTAGTTAAAAAATTTTGAGAAACAACAAAATCTTAGTCTTAAAACATCTGCTTACTTGTAGAGTATTACGAAAATTAACAAAAGTGTTGCAATTCTAGCAGCTTCAATTTGATTTGTACAACACTTTTTAAATTTACGTAGAATTTCTTAGATTCTGGCAGTTGTATTTAATTTTTTTGTAGAATTCTATAGAATTATTTCCGGCAGGGGAGCAAGAAAAGAATACGCGTGCACGCGCAGTACTGCAAAACTACGCAACTACTGTCATCTCGCTGCGACACGCATTTCGTTCTCTACCTGTCGGATACGTGGGTGGTATCGCCCCGTTGTATCGAGCATTAAGGTCGATCGCGTTAGAGATCGGCGCGGCGTCGTAGCCGGTATACGCCACGCCACCATTGTCGTAGCAAAAGTACTGCTGCTGCTGCTGATAAAAATGACCACCTGCCGCGTAAGCCTCGATGTAATTGCAGCAGTCCATCTCTGCGATTTTGCGCGACCCCCGCGTCTGAGGCCTCGCGCGTATCGATCCTAGATCTCCCCTGCCAGCGGCAACGGTTAGGCTACGTCTCTCCCGTTGCGCGCGGGCATCGCGCGATACTGCGATCTATCTCGGTTACAGTCACTATCACGCGACGCGGATCGAACTCCTTGACGCTTCGATCGGTAAACGCGAGTACGCGCCCCGTGCCTCGGATCGCTCGTCTTCTCCCGACGTTCCCGAAAATTGCTATTGATACTTTTCATGTTAGCGCGCGAATCGTCAGATTCTTGATCACGGTGTCAATTGAAACGCGCGCGTCTCCCTCATCTCGCACGTCTTAAGTCCCATCAAGTTCGCACCCTCGAGATTTCACGGAACGGACGTAAACACCGGGCGCTCTCTCAAGTCCACGTTTCCGCGAGCCGAGCACGCCGAGAATTAAAGGGTGGGATCGTCGCCGAGGATCGGGCGCTCTCTCCGCCCGGTCGATATCCCAGTTTCGCGGGTCCACGTCTCGCGGTTCTCTCGGGGGGGCCAAATGTAAACACTGTGTCCGCGCGTCCGCGGACGACGCGCAGCGCGACCGGCGTCGCTCTCCTCTTCGTTTTCAAAGGGCGCCGAGCGTGCGGAGCACAGAGACACGCGTCCCTTCGCCCTTGCCAACGGCAAGTTTACGCTCGAACGTTCGCGCCGTGCGAGCGCAGGGGATGCCGTAGGGAAGCGTACGATCGGTCTTCTCCCGCGTTCCGTCGGGCGGATCCAGGGCTCGGGGGTTCCGTCGACGTCGACGTCGACCTCCTCCTCGTCGTCGACATGATCGTCGGCAGATCGACGCGCGTCGCGCCGACGATCGTGACCGGTTTTTAACGCGTCATCATCATCGCCCGGCCGCCGTCGGTCGCCACGCGTCCGCACGCGGACGCGGCGCGGCGTGTGCGGCGGGCCGCGCCATGCTCGCTGCAGCCGCGGAGAGATCGATGACAGAAGCTGCGTTCCCGCTGCACCTGCTGCACCCCTCGCGCGCTCCTCTCCCCGCCGCCCCCCGAAAACAACCAGCGACCTTTTCCGCGCCTTCGTTGACACCGTTCTCGCTTCGGCGTGGCGCGTGAATTCGATGCTGATTCACGTTCCTCTATCTCTCTCTCTCTCTGTCTCTCTCTTCTCCTTCCTACGGCGAGGATATCGCTCGATCCTTTCGGATCCTTTTCCCAGGATCGATACTTGATCGGGGACGACCGAGGGGGTCGGATCGAAAATTGTCTCTCGACGCCTCCTCCGTTGAGTCGCTCCAATTTGCCCTCGCCTGTTAATTCGTCACTTGACCTAGTCCACGCGTGATCGATCAGTCAGCTCCAGGCGGGCTCTTCCTCTCGTTCTCCGCGATCACCTCGGATCACACGCCGATTGTTTCGTAAAAGCGATCCCGATCGATTTGAAGGACGCGCTCGTCTCGCAGACTCTACCCCTCTCCTTTGTACATTGAAACTATACGCTACTATCACAACGATTTCTCGCACGCTCGCCTCTATCCGGCGATGAATGAACGGACGCACTCTCGTCCTCCGTGTTTCAAAACGTTTCGCGCGGCCGTTAACATCAATTGGGGCGCGCACACCGACCTATATAACGTCGTCTGCGTTTTCCCTCCGCTGTGTCACTCGCCGTGCCACATCGTAGTCGCCCCGCGTATGTTACCCTCTCGCGGAAAGAGGATCAGCGCGAGCGGACGTACAAACGTGCAGAGGCGGGCGGGCGGACGCGCGCGCGCGCGTGCCGCAAGCGGGAACGGCGGGCCGCACACGGGGAGACCCGCGTTCTTCCCTCGCGGTGCACTCCAGTCGCACTGATTTCATCCGGCGGCGGTGGCGGCGGCGGTGGTAGTGGCGGCGGCGGCGGCGGCGGCGGCGGCGGC